ATATTTATTTGGCAAAACTAGGAAGCTAAAGGGGAAAATTGGTAATTTCTATCTTCTTTAAAAGTTTCGTAGACTTGGCCTTTTATTTGCTAGGACACTTCATTTCTGCTTTAAACTCATTGTTATTGACCTCTTTATTAAGTTTTTTTGTCTTATTGAATTAATTTGTTATCTAGTGAGTTATATTTATCTTATTTTTTGTTGTTTTCTTCTAAAAACTCAAGGAGCACCATTCAGTTATTTATTTTTAATACATGATTCTTCTTTAATGCAATCACTCTTGAAACTTTCCTTCTGGAACTACTTAGCTGGAAGTTGTGCTTTTACATCCATGTGATTATAGGAAATTTTGAATTTTATCCTTTATTTTTTTCCTTCAGTAAACAGTAACTAAAGCATTTTTAATTTGCCAAGTGTTTATGTGGTTTTTGTACATTTCTTGCTGTTGAGTATGTTTTATTCCACTATGATCTGGTAAAATACAAGAAATTATTTCAATTATTATATTTTATTAAAAGTTTCATTTTAACCAAAAAAATAGCTTTATTTTAGAGACAGTTTTATGAACTTTAAAGAACAATGTATATTCTTTATCTGTTGGATAGAATATATTTGACTATGTTCTAAAGTTCATTTGATCTCAGTATAAATTAGATGTAATTTTCTCTGTTGCTTTTTAGTTTATGTGAAATATATATATGAGGTATTAAAGCTACCCACTCTTACTTTAGCATGATTTATCTGGCCCTTTATACTCATTGATGTTTACTTTGTCAGGTAGATATTGAAGTTTCAATTTTGCATCATTGTAAAATAGACTCTTTTTAAATTTTTAAGTGCATGAACCTATTTCTCTTTAATTCACTGATACAAGGCAGCAATGGGTATCCACCATAGAACAATGGTACAAACCAACAATTGGTGCTCAACTTTTATTACATGAATAAATGAAAGAGTAGTCATGTAACAATGTTTAAAAAACATTGCAACTCATAGTTTGTCTACAGAACATAAAGCATTATATTTTTTACCTCTAATTTTCTCGAAGCAACAAGTTCTTTTTACCTATTTAGTCTTTGTCTTCTTGAATTGTGAATATACAAACAATCTGTGTTCTATGCACTTTCTTTAATTTTAAGAAATGGTGTGAAAATAGCAGTGCTTGCTTCTTTGTCATGACAGAAATTCCTTTGTCTTGCCTTTCAATTCATTTTAATCCTCAGTGATTCATATTTAAGAAATGATATTATGCAGCTGTGGTGTAAATGAGTTCTTGGCAACAACTCAAGAGGCAAGTCAGTGTGGTCCCTCATAATGGGTGACCATTAGCCTTGAATTATTTTTTCTCTCCTATTAACAGTGGAATTGTACTATCACATAATGTTTTGGATGGCTTTTTTTTTCTTTTTGTTGAGACCTTTAATCTATACCCTTATTTTATAGACATCATTACAACAATAATCTCTTTTGTTCTGTCCAGATATATATTGTGCCTAAAGATTTATACTGTATTCATTTCTGTTTGTGTGACCAACTATCCTGGTTTTCCAGGGTCTGTCTAAATTTTATGATATTGTCTTGTTTTTAATTTTACTAGCTTGTGCAACATCTTGGTACATGCAGGTACTCTTGGCCCACCATTCAGAAACCCAAAAGTCTGAGACAGGAGGATCAAATATTCAAAATCAGCCTGTGATACATAATGAAACTCTGTCTCAAAAACAAACAACAAAATAACATACAGAAACAACACTAAAAGTTGAACATCTTGAAAACACTCTGTGTATTAAGATACATATTTAGCTTATTACCAGCTTTAGTCTTTCATATTTAAGTCACTCTTTTCCTTAAAAGAGCATCTCCTCCTCCTTCTTGTTATCTTTTCTCGCTTGTTGTCCTATCTTATCTCTTTTTTGGCTTTAGGGAAAAACATATTGTTCAAGTAATTTCCACTGGATATATCTGCTTCCCTTTCTACACTTTTTTTTCAACTAAATGTCTGTCTCAGATTCTCAACCAGTCCAAAGAACACTCTTTATTGCAAACCTGTGTTTGCATCTATGAATCAACTGCTTCCTCTTAAAATTCTCATAAGTCGCTCAAACCTCCTCATATTTGGCCTCTCTGTTTTTAAATTTTCACGTGGGATGAGCTCTCAAAGTCCCTTCTTACACCAGGGAAAAATACCAATCCACTACCAGGGGCCCCCTGGAGTGCAGAGGCCTCCTTACTGACATCCATTTTCAGGGGTCTGGATCAGTCTTCTACTGGCCTCCCAGACAGCATCTGGGGTCGATGTGCTCTCCCTTGTTCAGGCCAACTGTTCCTGTGGGTTTCTCCAACCTGGTACAGACCCCTTCGCTCTTCATTCCTCCCTCTCTTCAACTAAATTCCGGATTTCAGCTCAGTGTATATATGTGGATGTCTGTCTCTGCTTCCATCAGCCACTGAATGAGGGCTCTAGGATGGCATAAAGTGTAGTCATCAATCTTATTTTAGGGGAAGGACTTTTAGGTTATCCTCTCCACCATTGCCTGGATTGTCAGATCTTGTCATCCTTGTAGGCCCTTGGAGATCTCCCTAGTTCAAGATCGCTTCTCGGACCTATAGTGGCTCCCTCTGATATGGCATCTCTCATCCTGCTCTCTCTCCTCTATTCTTCCCCCAAATGTGGCCTCTCTTGACATTCTGTTTTTCTCTTTATTCATTAAGTACCGACATGTAGGCATTCAGCACATATTAGCAGGATGATAAAATGATGCTCAGAAATTTTTCTTCCACAGAATTTATTTTTTTCAGCTAGAAAGAATTATATCTCTCCAAGATGTCCCATATACAGAATGCCAACCCTCATCTTAGTATGATTGTAATTTTAGGCCTTATTAATTTTATCTTGAATATTCACATGAGATATTCTGGATCCAAGGCAAGTTTTTTAAATTGCCTTATAATAAATAATCTTACCTCCTCTCTCTTTCCTAATGACACACCCTATGACAACATGGTTAATGTTGATGAAAAGTCTTTCCATGTGAGTACTTAGTTTCTCTATAGGCAAGAAACCAAAGAATATAAAGGAGGAGCCAGCTGTCCTCTTCTCCAAATGAATATCCTTGGAAACATAAAAGGCCTGAATCTAACTCTAATTTTCAAGAAGCTATCTCAATGCCCCACGTGCCTCAATTTTTACAATGTATAAATATTTCCAGGGCCAGGGCTTCATATGTTTTCATTATAGCTATGTAGAGACTTTTTTCCTCACAACTGGAAATTTAGTCTAGCAGACTACCAACTAAGGTCTTAACCATTTGTCTTTCCTGGATCAGAGAAATTTGAGAAATTAACCAGACAGATGGTACACATCTAATTTGCATGGGGTGGGAAAGTTTTCAGCAGGTTAAAACTATTAGAGATGCATAGAGTAATCCAGGAGTTTGTTTTCTCACACTTAGTTAAATTGTATCCAGAAATCGCTCATCTACTCAATGTAAATCTGTGAGTCCAATTACTTGGAACTTTTGCACACATCTCTATTGTTATTTTAATCCCCACTCCTTCATTCTATATTTATCTGCCTCCCCTAATTACGGCCTCACCTTTTTTTCCCATTTCCTGTATCAGATCACTTCTACCCTGTCCAACAACTTGTGTACACATGCCACTACCCCGCCTAAATTTTTTCAAAGGTTTCTAATTACTTACAAATACTGCCTAAACTTTTCAAGAATCTGATGCCAAAATTCTTCTTTAAAATTTGCACCAATTTAACTTTTTGTTTCTATTGTAACTACTTAGACATTGAAGTTTGGTATAGGGAGCCATTGTTTTTCATAATTAGCAAGTAGACAGACATTTAAATAAAACAGATAATTGTACTTGTGAAAGATGGATTAAAAAAATAAAGCACTGGCCGGGCGTTGATGGCACACGGCTTTAATCCCAGCACTTGGGAGGCAGAGGCAGGCAGATCTCTGTGAGTTTGAGGCCAGCCTGTAGTCCTGATCAAGTTCCAGGATAGGCTCCAAAGCTACACAGAGAAACCCTGTCTTGAAAAACCAAAAAAAAAAATAAAAAATAAAGCACTGCAAGAAATATATACACCCGGAAGAGTCACACACACACACACACACACACACACACACACACACACACAGGGGCAGAAACACAAACACACATATTCAGAAATCAAATGAAATATTATAGATAGAACAGGACTTCTGTGTAACTAAAGTAAATAATCATCTACCCAGTGTGATTTCAAGGACACAAGAATAGTCCACAATATAGGAATTGCTTTTCTATCTGCAGACTGAATCCAAATATTCCATTATTTTTATTCAGACACCTTGCCTCTCTCTTCTGGATTGTAAATAACCTTGACAGAATGATTACTGTATAAAATATCAAACTCAGGGTTCTTTTGAATGTGAGCACCACTAAGATTTTACCAATAAATATGTTTTAATACACTTCTGAGATATTTTTGTATCAGAGTTCTATGTTTGAAATTTAAAGGAAAACACTACTCCCCCCCCAGTTATGTAAGAGGATTTAAACTCAATTAATAACATTGCTATAAATAATGGTACATAATTAAACTTAGGTCAGAGAAACAGTTATTTTAAAAAGATATATTATCACACATGTGACACAATATCTTTTATTAACATGGTCACCCATAATAAAATGAAATCTGGGTCAATAACTATATTTTATATTTTTTAATATTAATTCCTATTAGTATACTTAACTTAATGATAGCACATCACCTGTCTTGAAAGTCCCCCACTTCTCCCCAGAAAAGTTTTGCAAATCCAGTGGTTTCCCTATTAACATTGAGATGCAGGTCTCCTTTCTTATCATTTTCTGACTATCAGTTTATAAATAAAAGAGAAAGAAATTGACTGGGGAGTTACATAAACAAGTTCTGAGCACCCAGGATTAATTTTGAGGAGCATTCCACAAGCCAAATAAACATTTCTTTCCATCTCATTTCACAGGCCTTCAAGAGGGAATTGAAAACTAAAGAACCTGTAATCATGAGTACTCTGGAGACTGTGAGAGTATTTCTGACAGAGCAGCCTTTGGAAGGACTGGAGAAGCTCTACCAGGAGCCCAGAGGTAATTGAATGTGGAACTGTAATAACATATTGATAGAAGGATCAGTGATGACAGAGCAGCCCATCCATGCTCGCTGCCAGAGACTGTACAGCTCTCACACTTCTGAGTTAAGCAGAATCAATTCAAATTAAATGTAGGTTTCAAAAAAGAATAAGGAATCATAAAGCACAGTGCATAAACCTGCTTTCGCTGTCGTAAATAAAGCAACCAGTGATCAGTTATTTGAATATTTAGAAGATAGGGGAGATTATCTGTGGAAAGGAATCTATTGTTACAAAGACTACAAGCTAATTTCCAGTTCAAGTGCCTGGCTGAAATAAATTAGAGCTCTTCCGCATGTGCTAACATTTTCTCTCTGAAAGCTTAAATGAATCTTGATTTATCTGATTGACAGAAAAATAGAACAGATTCACTCAGGAAGACAGACTGTATAGCTGTGCTAGACTCTGTCAAAATTTATGCCAAAGTGTAAAAGAGCCATTAATCAGGAAGTTGGCCTCTTGTTAATCTATATTCGCTTCCTTTCTTCTAGTCTGACCTTTTCAACAATGTTTTTTTTAAACAAAAATGGATGTGGCCTAAAACCTTGTCATATTGCCAATTTAGAGCTGCCTCCTGAAGAAAGAGCCCAGAATGTCACTCGGCTCCTACGGAAACAGGCTGAGGAGGTCAACACTGAATGGGACAAGTTGAACCTGCACTCAGCTGATTGGCAGAGAAAACTAGATGAGGCTCTTGAAAGACTACAGAAACTTCAGGAAGCTGCAGATGAACTGGACCTCAAACTTCGCCAAGCTGAGGTGATCAAGGGATCCTGGCAACCAGTGGGGGATCTCCTCATTGACTCTCTCCAAGATCACCTTGAAAAAGTCAAGGTACTGTGTTTTGCTTTATTCCACAATATTTTCAGGGACTCCTCTCCAAAATGCTCATTTAAGTTTATACAGTATTTTCATCACACAAAGACACAAAGCTAAATTATAGGGCCTATAAACTTTTGAAATTAGCCCATTTTATTTGCCTTGTTTTGAAGTCCTGAATGTAGAGTTTCCTCCAAAAAAAGTCAGTGATGTAATCATTTGTCTATCTTCAGTAATATAAAATGAAATATTAAGGAGTAACATTAGTGTGGTACATAGTACCCCAGGCTCATAAGATTAAATATTAAAAAGTTACAAGGTCAAAAGTAATTTTGATTTTTGCCATTAGGAAATTAATTTGTCATGAAGTAGATGGGTTGGAGGGTTTGTTGGGTATTTTTTATGAAGTTTTTGGTGTGTGTGTGTGTGTGTGTGTGTGTGTGTGTTGTATTACTTAGTCTCAGAACAGAATAAAAATAACATTTGCCAAGATCAAAAGACCCAATTTGAGGCTTTTTCCTTAATAATATGAGAGCCGATCTGAAACAGAATCATTTGTTTTCCAAGTGCTTTTGCTGTCTAATTGTAAATGAGTAGAAATTTGGGTTCAGCCTTATATCCTTCTGCATTTTTATTTTCTGCATACCATTGCTTGTTTTCCCTCAAAATGTTTTTTCCTTTTATTTCCCCGTTTTCAACCAGTGTCTTTTTGCATATTTTTTATTTTAGAAACAATATTATTTTACATATCACCCTCCATTCCCTCACCCTCCCATGTCCCCACTTCCCCCACTGACCCCCCAACCGACCCCCACCCACTGCCCAAGGATAGTGAGGCCTTCCACGGGGCATCAACAAAGTCTGTCATATCATCTGGTTGAGGGCTCAGGCCTGGGCTGCAATAGTATCCCTCCTTAGGGAATGGGCTCCCAAGGTCCATTTGTGCTCTAGGGATAAATACTGGCTCTACTGTTAGAGGTCCTGTAGACTGCCCAGGCCTCTGAGCTGGCACCCACATATAGAGGACTTAGTTTGGTCCAATTCTGGCTCCCAGATTTATGACTGGGATCTCTGTGCTCTCACTAGGTCAGGTCAACTGTTTCTGTAAGTTTCTCCAGCACGGTCTTGGCTCCTTTGCTCATCCCCCCTGCCTCTCTACAACTGGATTCTGGGAGTATGACTCAGTGCTTATCTGTGAGTCTCTGCTTCTGCTTCCATCAGCTAACTGGATGAAGGCTCTAGGATAACAAGTAAGGTAGTAATCAATCTCATTATAGGGGAAGGGCATCAAAGGCATCCTCTCCACTACTGCCTAGATTCTTAGTTGAGGACATCCTTGTAGATCTCTGAACATTTCTCTAGTGCCAGATTTTTCTTTAAGCCTATACTGGCTCCCTCTATCAATGTATCACCTTTCTTGGTCTCCTCTATTCCTCCTCTGTCTCAGTCTTCCAGATCCCTCTTGTTCTCCCCCATCCTCTTCTCCCCTTCCCTTTTCCTCCCTCCCTCCCCTCCCCACCCTGTGCTCCCAATTTGCTCAGAGGCTCTTATCTCTTTCCCTTTCTTTGGGGACCATATGTTTCTCTCTTAGGGTCCTCCTTGTTTCCTAGTTTCTCTCAACCAGTTTCTTTTTAAATCCCTTTTTTTCAAACTTATATAGATGACATGCTTAAATCCCCTGGCCAGTCAGTGCGTGTGGCATTATGGACACTGCCTTTTAAATATTGAGTAAGTGAATGGATATTTCTGAATCATCCAGACTCTTCCCATTTCAACCTAAAACTCTTTAAAGTATATAATGAAGTCTGGTCATCAAATAGGGTAGCTATCTCTCTTCTTTGTATCCCTGGCTTTCCTACTCACTTTTAACAACTTGAATGCAGACAACCCAATATACTCTTCAATGCTATATAAATTGGTCTTATTTTCTTGTAATTGTCTGCCATGTGTTTTTCCATCCATATGAATCACCACACTGATCTGTTTGTCTGATCAACTCTTACTGAAACTTTAAAACCCAATGTACATATAACCTATTTTTGTAGTCTACCATAAATATCTACCACTCCCGCAACTCCTGTCAAAGGAGTTTCAATTTATTGACCCCAAATCTGAAACTCTAAAACTACTGCTTTGGTGTCAGTAGTTTAGTCCACCAAATTAAACTGATTAACTAAAACTGATTCTTAAAAAAGGAGAAGCATATTAAAAACCACTATTTCTATGTTGTTTTAAACTTAGCAGTTATTCCCAAGTAAAAGCCAGGTAGCTAACTACATAGATGAATATTTGATATACCTATGTCACCTCAGCTCCGCTAATGATGCTTTCAAAAAAACCATTCTCCATTTTTCCTTTCTCCATTTTAAAACTCCATTAAGGTTTTAAAAGTTGTCATTTGTGTCCCTGCAAAATACATTCTTCTGTTGGATTTATGATTGTATCACTTCATTAGTTAAGGTGCCTTTGGGAAATGGATAAAATGTAACCACTATGTCCCTGGACCTTGTGGAAATGATAGCTGTTCTTCACAGTGATAAATATCATAAATCAAGACAACATATTGCCATGTTCATATTGGCTATTTGACTCACAAATAAAGCTCCATAGGAAAAAATACTAGACCTGAACATGGGGTTGCTCATGGACCTCAGACTGATAGCTAGGAAACCAGCATAGTATTGATCTAGACCCCATGAATGAGGATGTCAGTTTGGAGGTCTGGTTAATCTATTGGGCCTCTGGTAGTGGATCAGTATTTATCTCTAGTACATGAATGGACTTCGGAAGCGCACTCCACATAGAGGGATGCACTCTCAGCCTAGACACCAGAGGGGGGTCTAGGTCCTGCCCCAAATGATATGACAGACTTTGAAGTTCCCCCATGGAAGGCCTCACCATCCCTGGGGAGCAGAAAGGAGATGGGATAGGGGGTCAGTGGGGGGCAGGGGAGGGAGAGGGAACTGGGATTGACATGTAAAACAAGCTTGTTTCTAATTTGAATAAAAATAAAATAAAAAACTACTAGAATTAAAGCTACATTTCAAATGTCTTTCTACTTTCAAAAATCACAATTATTGTTGCTTACGAAGTATTTTAAGGTTCCACTTAGGACTACTCACCTTACAGGAATAACATCAATGCTTATTTGACTACATAAGTATTTTTACTTTCTTGCAATGGGAAACACAAATAATTGAATCACTCACTGGATGATCTACACAGACATGCAAAAGGAACATGCAAAGCCTTTCAGAAAGTAGAATAGCTGGAGGGCATATTTAACTTAATGTTTCCCTGTGCTAAGCTGTGTCCTCAGACTTTTAAGTAAGAGAACAAAAGAGGGGGAATGAAGAGAAAGGGCAAGATAAATATATAAAGAGATTGGTTGGTTGATTGGTAGGCAGATTTAGAGACAGAGTCTCACTAAATTTATCTAGGCTGCACTTGAACTCTGGAACTTAAGTGATTCTCCTGCTTCCATTTAAAGTATCTTGGACTAATAGAGTAAGTTTTGAAGTCAAAACTCTGTGAAAATACCTAAAGTGAAAATATTTGGAAGTCATTGATGTTTTCTTGTTCTAATCAACCATTGTTTCTCCATATAGAAGGTACATCATTCTTGAATCCTTAGTTTGTCTTCAGTCTTTTCTTTTTTCTTCCTTTTTTCATATAGGACATTGAATCTGGGCTCTAATACATGCCACTGATACACACTCAGATATAACTTTAAATACACTAATGCATCTACCTCTAATGAAGCTCCAAGATTTCCATATTGAAATTTGTGAATTTGTCATAGCCATTTGTTTATACATTGCTTTTGCTTATATAGATGTCTAAAATATTACTGGGAAAGCCAAAGGAAGGGATTCTCTGAGTTTTCCTGTTAAACACTATTAAGGTGATATTTTGATTATACATTCTTGACATTTTAACTAAGCCTATGGTATGTGTACTGGAGCAGGAAGTATTTGAACCCATTGTACCATTGGTATTTATGCTCACCATTCATATCAACAATTTTAAGAGGAAAACTAGAAAGTGCATCTTCTCAGCCCTTCCAGACTGAACACTTGTGGCTTTCTTTATTTAAGAAATTTGCCAAAGTAATTCTATCCCAGAATTTTATATTGAGAAAGTAAAGTATATGTCCTCCTAACAGATAAGGTGGTGCAATGGATTAGAATTTCATTTTTACTTTGGTAAGCAGAAAGCTTGCAACCATCTTTATGTAAGTCTATCTTCCTTTAATGTTATTTGCTTAACTGTGGTCCACATTTTTTGTTTATATTTGTCATCAATTGACAGAATGTTAAATCCTTTCATATAGGGGAACTTTACAAAAAATTTGAATGAATAGAGGGAATTCTGACAAACAAGGCAGCCTTTCACTGAACCTAAAGCTCATCAATTGGCTAGATTAAATAGGCCGCTATTCCCTAGAATCTACCTATGTCCATCCCACAGGGTTACAGACATGTATTGCCACACCCAGCTTTTATGTGGATTCTAAACACCCAAACTGAGGTCCTCATGCTTGTGCACTGGAAACTTTATGTACAGTTATCTTGCTCGTGCCCAAATTATGTCTTTGCAATGCAGGAAAGGTTTACTGCCTAGAATAGGATGGAAAATTTTACTGAGGCTTCTCAGTTCTATGAACTGCATGCAAATGAATTGCTTTAGGGAGGCTTTTGTTGTTCTTGTTCTTCTTACAGTAAAAATGCTGTGTATTATGCCTTTGATCAAGAAGAAATAAACAAAAGATGTAATCCTTCATAAAACTAGATTAGATATGGAACCAATGCTTATTACATAGAACACACAGGCTTTATCTAGTTTTCAATGCAAATTGTTGTGTTGTTTAAAAGCACATAATTTGGCCATTAATATCTTTAAAACATTCCTAGTGAAAGGTATATAATAGTACAAGCTCACTGTACACTTTAAAAGTATAGTAATGGAAGTGACTTGTTGGCTTTATTTGAGCTTAGAAATTAAAGTATAAATTA